TATCATATTTAAGCTAGGCCAGTACAGTAATATATCTTATTTTTTGTTCTTTTAGTTCTTCTCGTTGTATGTTTTAGTTTTTAATCTATATTCATAGTGATTGTTATATTCTTCCTATATTAGTTGATCAATGCGGGATTTCCCGCCTTTTTTAACTTATCATAAAAACGTAATTTAGCTAGACAATTGACGTACTGTTATCTTTTAACATAGATAAGGTAAATGCGTTTATAATTATTTATCTATTGCACATTATTAACACAAATATTTTTTATTAAAGTACTTTATTGCTTATGATTTGCAAGTGCCTCGACACTTATAATAATAGAGGTTCAATTCAATGCCACTTACCCCTTTTTACAACAGCATTGCAGTCAAACCAGAGACAATATATTATTTTTTTGTTTGCCACCTGTGCATTGACTCCTGCAAGGGTTAATCGACCTTTGAACGAACTTATCTTTTATTTGTAATTTTACTATCGAAATGCCTACGCACTTCGTAGCACAGTAATGCGTTTGTAGGCGGTTTTAAAGGTCAGGGTCTATATTTATACATGTATCTACGTAACGCTCTAGCTAAATCATTAACGGCCTATACATTTAGACATGAAGTATGATATTTAAAATGTAACAAAAACGACTCTGGACAAAAAAACTGTACATTTTGTTATACCCAAAATCTGAATAAAGGTTTAAAAGAGTTGAAGTGATATTATTAGCCTAAAGAAAGGTGTTATAACTTCGAAGGACCAAATGTCACCGAAAAATATAGCCATTTTTTAAATTGTATATACCAATCTGATGGTACCCTTTTAGCAGGTTAATGCCAGCCGTTCTGTGTTACCAAATATTTCGTACAAACGAAATAATCTAAGATGTATACATTAAACTTGTTCCAAGCGTGGATCGATCCTGCAAAACTTGCCGCATTGGCAGAGGCGACTTGACAACCATTGTGCAAGCTTTGCAAAGTGTACTCACTTGGAGTAGCGATTGTTCAAAAATGTTTAAAACCTTACTAGATTAACTGAAATTTTACTATTGCCTTACGAGATAAACCTATATAGTAGGCAACTAAACAATCTGTTAATCAGTTAAACCTTGAAATTAAGAGAAACTCTTTAAAATCTTTAATGTATTATTATTTGAATTTATGGTTTATACCTGATTTTTGGTACAGATTTCTTTAAAAAAAAGGTTAGATGAGAATTCAGTGAATAAGAGCTATAACAAACCACGTGGCAGACTTCATAAGGACTCGCAAAAGTGAATCCTATCATAAATGACATTCTATCTCTTCGTTTACTATAGATAATAAAAAATAAGGTATATAACGCCAACAAGGGGGAGAGAATTCTAATGAGAGAAACACACCCATGCCCGAAAATCAATAATTTGTGCGTGGTACAAACATTGAGGGTCCCAAAGATAATATAAATGCAAGACAGCATTTTGTACTCTACTCCTTCGTGTATAAGATTCAATTTCATTGTACTTGTGGAAAATCAAATTAAGAACAATCTGTGTCATCAATTTTTCTATGAAGCTACATTAATTCTTAAATGCACCTATCAAACCTCCTTAATTTAAATCACATCTATTTCACAGGATTATGAATAAAACACATTCAATATAAGAAAAACATAACACTTATAAATACCTTCATTAGTATACAGAATTATTGCAGCCATTCTAACATTTGGCATTTAAAAAATAATAATATAGCTTAAAGTTATATAAATGGTTGCTATTTAAATGCTTAAAAAAATCATAAATTATAAAACTAGAATGTTAAAAGTCAAAAGGACACAGGATCAATAATATTTTAATGAAAAAAAGACCAAAAAACCTTACACGACATTCACTTCAAGACTTTGTGAGGCTTCTTTAGTTTTGAAGTAAGGAGTGCTTCAGTCTGCCTACATACGTGAAAGCTAAGGCTAAAGAATGCTTGAAGCATGCTACTCGAGCATACTTTATGACTAGCAATAAGGTCGCTGACACAATAGCCTACATCTTCATACGTTGACCTGCCATCGAAATTGGAACGTGGTCATCGGACATCAACTATCTTAAATATCAAGAAACTTGGATATAAATAATAATAATTATTAGTTTATTGCAGCAGAAATATATTTAACGATCTTAAAAATCCTTCTGGGGAATCCCCTCACTTTGATTTGCATCAAGAAATGCCTTCTTTCTTGATACACGGTTTCGTAATCTCTGTCGTGGCACACTTTCTTTTATATTGTGATTTAGTTATACGTAACACTTTGTAACTGATATCTACGGCAAATGTACTTGTAATTCTGAGGTCATTATTACAGCTTATTGATCTAATTATAAAACTATGCCACAGTAAACAACCAGTTTTAGAAGTTCACTCGAGAACAGGTTTTTACATGTTGGACTGCAGGCGATTACTGGAAAGGCTTTATCTTTCTTCAGAAGATAAATATTATAAGTAGGGTAATAAACGGGCAAGACCCTGGATTTTGTGTGCAATTTTTTTTAAAAAAGACAAAGGAGAATAACATATTCAACTGACAATACCAACTTTAACTTAAGTGGACGCCTCGAAGATGTTGATAGATGAAAACTTGCCGAATTGTTCCTTTGAAGGCGCAAAGAGAGAAACAGCCGTATAGAATTCTAATCCAAAAAAAAGTATTGCATAAACAAAAGTTTTTTTTTCATATTAAACTTAATCAGTTGTAATTCAAAGATAAAGGACTATCGATGACCACTGCGTTACATATCAGAACACCATAGACAAACTGACATAAAAAAAAAACTCTGAAATACGTCATCACATCAATATTGACCAATGAATATAACCGTTATTCTAAAACCAGCTATCTAATTTAACTATTACTCAGTTGATGAGTCATCACTATAACGTGCTTCCCTGGCGCTCGTCTTTACGATTACAGGGATGTTAAAATTCTCAATGAATCATCGTTCTCTGAACTGAAGCCCGTTGTATGCTACATAGTCGACCGGTAACCGACCTTTGGAGTTAAGATACATTGATCCCAGATTAAAAGTATGGTAATTTAATTTAAACACTTCACTTTTTTAGTTAAGGACTGCCAGCGGATAAGCTTTAGATTTGTTTTTATTTATAATTATATTAACCTCCATTAAAAGGATGACAATTTTCGAATCTAGTATCAAAATAAAAAATCAATTTAATTACATTTTAATAAACCGAAAATCGATAGTGTCTTGTATTAAAAAATAAAATGTCATTTTACACGTCAATCTGAACAGCTGATCAGCGCGCTGTCAATATTGTTGAGTGATTGTAATCCAACCGCAATTGCCGATTGTATTTCCCGCCGAAATATGACCGCCATTTTGTGACATATTGAATGTGTATAATAATATGAACTCTACTGCGTTGTCGGAAGAAATATTATCGCTTAAATTTACATTTTGTTATCGAAAAGGAAACTGTTTACGAGGTCACATCACTAGTATTTTGAAAGTGCAAAGTTTCATATTTTAGTAATGACCTTTTAAAAAAATAAATTAATATTGGTACAATATGCATATCATTATTTAATGATTAGGCAACATAATAAGCGGATATAAACCTGATTGGACGTGCACTTTTGCCATTTTATGTTATTCAAATTTTTAAACACACAAAAACGTATCGCAGAAATACCACCGACCACAAGGTGATTCAGGTAAAACAAATAAACAAGTAGAACACTCGCTCTTCTAACTAAAAGGTTAAGAGCGATAATCGCGCACCGGAAATAATTATGAGGTTATTGTACAACGTATATACGTACATTGTTCCACAAATGCTCATTCTCGTCATACATCAGTTTCAACAAAATGACGTCCATTGTTTGCTCAGGCACAGCTGTACAAAGCACAGATAAACAAAACTATAGATACAGACCAAAAACAACAAAAAATGTTCGTGTAGCTGTATTGTTACTTTTAAATTGTCTATTAGAACAAAGATAAAGTTGCCCATTTTTAGTCGTATTTGTCATAATGATTTCCCGCGCAAAATGTTTATTGTGCAACTCATTTGATATGAATCATGTTAATGAAACAAAAGATCTTATTTTACTTTAGTGGACGTTAAAATCTAATTAAAATTAAAGCAATTAAGCCTTAAAGTAATGACTAATTTTTATAAAAACAATCACGAAGGTAGCACTTTTATTTTTAAATAAATGGCAAACAAAATCAATAGGCAACTAACATAGCAATACACACACACTATCAATCACCTACGTATAAAAGATATCGTCATAAAAGATTTTAAGCTCCGATAAATAGTTTATGAAACCTGACATGATATAACAGATACAGCATTCACATGTTGCCTTGACGATAAAAAAGTTTAAATATTGATAAGAAATGATACATTCACCAACTGAAATAACAAGCTAAGTTTGAAGGCCATATTTGAGTTGCAAATTAAAAACCGCAAGCTGAAGACATGACATAAGAAATATTTAAACCATAAGGATTGTATGACATTTGTATTGTTTTAATCCATACAGAACTAACATAAAACTAAGCCATGACAAATGTATTTACCATGGGTCAAGGCTTACGTCATAGGTTTTTATGACTGCAATAGTGACGTAAGCTAATGTAACTTGATGGCTCTTTATGTTTTATTGTGAGATATAACGTGAAATGAACAAGAATACGTAATACACAGAGTACACATTCATCGTAGATGAAAAATGCAATTGTTTAGGTTCGCTACAATAGTTATCAACCAAAAACTAGTGCAAAAATTTACAAAAATAATGGTATTATTTAACAGAGCGTGAAAAATCGTCATCATTGGTGTCAGAGAGGCAGCGTGAGGCGCTCGTGAAGGGCGCCCCCGAGTCGCACACTGAGCGCGGCCGCGGACAAGACGATGCGCGCGGGCCGGGGTCGGAGGCGCGCGCCGAGGCCGAGGCGGTCGCGCCCACGGTCGGCCGCTGGGGCGCCGAGTGGCCGAGTTGACTCGATGCGGACTCCCTGAACCCCTTGCCGGGCCCGCGCTGGGGCCCGCCGCGCCCACCGCTGCACCTCACGCCCGCCGAGCACGAGGACCTCGTGACCCGCGCCGAGGGCGTGCTGCGTCGCCTGCTGCTTACCGACAACTATGACTCTGTCAGCAACTTCATCTCGCTGTACGACGCCTTCGAGAAATCCGCGGAGCCGCTGCAGCAGCTGTTCGGCAAGTACAACCCGCCGATACGACCACGGCAGCACACCTGCGTAGGCCTCGGTTTCGAGCTGCTGAGACGCTGGCGCAGCTTGGACAAGCGGCGGCCGGGATTTGCGGCAGCTTGCGCGCTGGTCTCTTGTGAGGAGGCGGTCGAAGACGTGCGAGAGTACGTGACGTGCGGCGAGGGCCCGGAGGCGGTGATGGTCGCCGAGAAGGAGCACGTCATGGTGTGTGTGCAGATCGTGATGGACGGCCGCGCTGGTGTTCTGCTGGCCGACCCGGGCTACCACGTGCCCCGCGTCGTCACCGTCATGGCGGATAGAGGGTATCCGCACACCGGTCGGTACACTTATAAATCATGCTCATTGATACTTGTTTTCTCTCTTTCGTTGCGTCGTCTGACTACAAGGTGTTTGTGTGTCGCGAAGGTTGGTTCACTCTGTCAGAAGAGCCGCTTTGCCGTAAGGAGTACAGCTACGGGTTCAGCCCGCTCAACAGCGGCTACGTTGAGTGGCGCGAGCGGGAGACGCGCGGTCCCAAATTCAAGTGCCAGACCTCGCTCGTGTACGTCGCGCGACCATACCTCGACGGTGTCAATGTCACTGAGCGCAGGAACCTCGTTTACAACTTCAGGTGAGATCTACCGGAATACTATACTGACCTAAATTTATGTTGATCGTATCAGGCCATTCGTCAAAAACATATGGCGCTTTGTGCTTTTTGATAAAGTTTAATCGTAAGCTTTGCATTCCAGGAGTCTGCTTGCCCGCGACCAGAAAGGCCACCTCATAGCCGGGCTCTATTTCCCGGTGGGGGGCCGCGGCAAGGACGCGCAGTTTACGTTGTTCTTTGACACCGGCGCTGAGAAACACAAGACCAAATACAAGTTCAACAGCTTTATCAATCCGGATGCTGTAAGTATCAAGCACGATCTATTTCACTATTATGACGTCACAGTTTTACTTTTCAATTATCATGGGGTTCATGTAATGTCAAGAATAACAAGAGCACGTCACATTTGGACTCCTTTCGTTACATGAAAGAGAAGGAAAATATGATTTGTATAGTAGTAAGAGGGACTACTTATCAGCCGGTAATAATTTACAGAGAACCTATGTTTTTATCATAAAATTTTTACAGACAGGCATTCAATAGTCATCTCTATTTCTAAGTTTGTATTTCTAAATGAATAGAACTTGCCGGATGTGATGTGTTTCGAAGTATAACAGTGCGTGTAATGTAAACGCTTGCGTAATATGCACGTGCCGCTATTTAACTTTGTCTCGTGATTGCATAAGTACACATAGATAAGGCGCGTTCTATTATAAAATTTACTACGGTTTTTAACGATTTCCGATGCATTCAAACAATGAACTTGCATCTCTTTACTACTAGGTGGAGTTTTTTTTAATAAGACACCAAATCTTGTTTGTACATTGTCATTTTTACCAAAACATATCAACGTATTTGCAACTGAAATAACCATATTATTTGTCCAATTTTTCGGCGAAGAAATCAATTGTAAACAAAAATAGTTCTTTCCACAAATTCTTAGATGTAACCCGGCTTAAACTGTGGCAACACTTTTATTGACACATACAGTCATCGCTTACATTCTCTTTGAACAAACAGAGACAACAATATGTCAGTCGAAACCTACTAAGTTAGACATTTTGTGTTATGTCTGCTTTCACAATACGACCACAACATCAACATTGTTTGTGATACATTTCTTGCTAACTATTCCGCAGAATAAATATTCTGACACGTGCTAAACTTCTATATATATGTATTTAATATACATATTTATGTACTTTCATATGTGAACATTATTCTCATATGCAGAACAAACTTTAAATTCGTGTTAAAAGTTAAATTGTGAGTAAGAAACTTAGTTTGCGACCTCATTACTTAGCTATTAGGTATTTCTAACACTGATAACATTTCTAATTTAAATATGAATTAACAAAAACGATGTTTTTTTAAGACATATTAATTACGAATCTACTATCGCGTCTTTATTTTTCTTTGTAAAATTAACATTTGGTTCGGTTCTCTAATATATTTAAAACATATTCAACTCGATTATTTCTGAATAAAACATTAGTTTCTGTTATCGATTTATGAAAGTAATTGTCCTAATACAAAATGTATTTGTTACAACCATAAAATGTTATACACACCTTCATTACGAATGCTAATGGCCTTCTCTAATAACCTTCCCAGTATTCCGTTCCATTACACACTATAATCAAAATGATTAAATTGTAATTTAATAATTACGTATTTTACTTTAATTCTGCGCGCATAATTTTGATATAATGCTTCTTTTTCATTATGCTTTTAAATAATTATAACCTAAATATATGTTTATTTAATAAAATATGTTTGTACAATGAATAGTTAATAGTTGTATGCGGTAATATTAGAGATTATCTGTCGCCCGCGTCTCGTCTGCTCGGAATTAAAAAAAACTTAATGAGTAGCTATGTTTTACATCTGTGCCAAATTTCATCGAGATTCGTTGAGCCGTTCCGGAGATACCTTCTAACAAACATCCATCTAAACATTCACATTTATAATATTAGTAAGATTAGTCAATTTAAATAAAAAGTACTGCATATTTTAATAGATAATTATTTAATTGTTAGATACCAGAGACGATATCCGAGGAAGTGGAGATTTGCAACGCGCAAATGAATTACAAGAAAGGTGAGTTAAGGAACATCATCTGCCGGCTGGCCGAGGTGCTCGCGAACCAAAGCTTCATAGAGCAGCTGCTCGAGATCAACGATGACATCTGTCGCATGTGTCTCTGACAGCCGCGCAATGGCGGCAACATGGCCGCCCGCATAGCGCGATAAAACGCACCATAAACAATATTTGTCTCTTAATTTGTACTTGATTTCTCAATTAAAAGCTTCAATATTTTTTCATTATTATATTTCGAATTGGTAATGGGTTTATTTTGTGATAAGCTTTTATTTTTCTTAATAAATTAAGACTTTTTTTTTTATATAGTTTAAAATTTTTTAATTGTACTTAATTCTTTATTTGACATTATACCTATTGGTTTAATATTTTACTTAAATATACGATTATTTGACAAATTTGAATACGATGTTTTATTATTTTCTTTATTTTAAATATGATTTTATATGTATTTTATTAAACGAAAGCACAAGATTATCGAGAAAGCCTTGGTAAACCCGATCAACAAATCTGTGATAGAACACGAGTCAAAAAAGTGAAGAAAAATTCCGGGATTTAAAAAAAGATTGAAAAAAAAGTTATACTTACAAGGATGTCTATGATTTATATAAAAAGTGTAATATTTTCCTTGTTGCATGATTGTTATTTCTACAGCGAAAGCTATTAGAAAATCTTTATTTCAATTTTTTTCGTACTATAAGAAAAAAAAGCAAAAAAAAAAGAAAATGGCCATAAATAGACTATTAAAGTTTTAGAATCTGATAAAAATATGCAATAAATATTTATAGTTGTAGTTTTTTACTATATATAGTGGTCAAATTTCCATTACCTTGCACCTAGTTGTATTCAAATTTAGCTACTTAGAAAAATACTTTAAATTTTTAATTAATAAACGGTCACGTAAAGGGTATTTCTTAAGAATAAGTTTTTATTTTAAAGGCGTGGTATTTGATAAGCAATGGATATTACTGTATTACAAACTGTTTTACATTTAATTCGGTGGGACATATTTTTGTTACTCGACTGACAATAAAGGTAATTGTGCTAACCTAAAAACTAAAACAAGAAAGTGTAGTTAGTTAGTAACGTCTTTGTTTTAATACGCAGACAATAGATGGCGTTATTCCATCGGTTAGAGCTTGTCAGTCGGGTTCTTTTGAAATTGTGGATATTTTAGTTACAAATTCTGCAGAAGTAAAATTTTCGCCGCTAAAAAGACGATATATGCAATAATTGGTTTTTATTTAATTTTATTACTGGACTATTAAATGAGTAATTATTGTTATAGAGGTCGATGATATGGGTATATAAAAATAATATTAAACGATAGACTGCTAATTAACGGAGTGTACCTAAAAAGCTACTCTTAGTGATATATGTACTGAAAACGCATGCAACATTTTATCAGATTATTATAAATCTTTGCAACATTATGTAATTTTTTTCTACATATTATGAATAATAAATTGTTAATATAATTTCGTATATTTGCTACAACTGAATATTCAAAGATATTTAATAAAAATATTTAAAAAAACAATTGTGCAGACTTTTTTTTATATCTTTTTCATCAACGTAACCTGAGAAATGATAACAAAATTCAAAATGAAAAACTACTATCAAGCTAAAAGTATGGAGAAATCACAAAAGCGTGTATCATTGGAGTGTTTAAAAACAACGGGTAAATAAAACATTTCTATGTAAAAAAAATTTCATTAGATTTCTTTCTTACAAACAAAAAGACAAATAAAACAAAATTATTTTATCGATATATTTATTTGAATTTCATAAATAACATCCAAATGTATTGGAATCCGTCGAATCTTCTATTCAAAATGTTTTTTTACAATACAGCTTTATGACAAACTAATGTACATTTGACTTGGCACGTCAATAACAAGTGTACTCTTCTACATGACGTGCCAACTTAAATGCCAGCTACTGAATCTGTTTTCACCGTCCAAACACTAGTATAAAAACATGTCATTTCTTCCTACATGTTTCGAGACAAGTATTTCGGCAGGAAAATTTCACGTATTACTTCTAATCTTAATAATAAATTATAAACTATTGAGAAATGGGTTAAAAACACTGATTTACTATACAATGGATAGCTTTGGAAATTACTTTTCCCTCGTTCAGATTTAAAGTCTTCTGATGTTGACAGCTATGCGATAAGTTCAACGTTTCGCCAAAATGGCGAAAATCAAATAGGCACAAGATATTACGGCCTATAGCCTGTCCATGTATAGATGGTCAATACTACAAAAATAATACCCGTCCACTGAAATGTCGGAACTAAATCAATTACATTCAAAAAAGTTACACTAACAGTGGGTTTCTGAGACCAATAACCCTATATAAAACATATAAGGTAACAATATGATTTAAAAGATATTGATGTCAGAAACCCACGGTTAATATAAGTACATTGTCCCGCACCGGACGCACCGCACGAACGGCACGCAAATGATTTTAGTTTGCTTTGACAGCGCTGCATTCATCCGCGCCGTCCGCATCCAAAGAAAGCAAATCCGTTGCGTGTCGTGCGTTCGATGCGTCCGGTGCGGAACAATGAACGCGTACATTAAAAATGAAAATGCTACATTCATACGTTAAAAACATTTATCTGTTATAACTAATTTCTTAATTAAAATGCCCTTATAAAGATAATTTTCGAATTTAACACATTTTAAAGGATCGCTTTATCAAGTTATATATTAAAAAACATGAATTTACCAAAACTATTATAAATATAATATTCTCAACCACTTCGTAAGATTGGGCGAGAAAGGAATATTTAGCCGTAAGTTAAAAACGTTTGAATGTTGACAAACATGTTTTATTCAGGTGAAAACCCAGAATATATCAACACATACAAAAACCTAACACTTCAGAATAAAACCATACATATAAAACCTATAGATGGCGTATTTTATATAATTAAGACGAAAATTAAGAGATTTTTCATTACGTTTATGACAAAAATGGGGAAAAATTACCTCAAAAAAAGCCTCACAAGATTTTTTTGCCTCAATTTTATGCCCCGGATTGTGTGATCTATAGGTTATAAATCTATATAATACTTCTAAAATGTATGAAATATTAATCATAACAATGATAATAAGGTGGGGTCTTATAGGATCGATTGTACAAACAAAATATACCTTATTTCCTTAACAATAAAGTTTATTATTCTATTTCAAACATAAAAAAATGATTTTTTTCATCATTTTTACAGATATTTTGTGTCACAAAGTTCAAATTACAATAGCAAATGAATTGAAATTGCGTCAGTTTGTCTATGGTGAAATCTATAAACTATTTGTACGAAATTGAACCTTATAATCTGTTAGTTTACTGAATAAATGTAATTTTAATCCATACATTTGTTATATTGTTTAATATTTTTACGATTATCGCACTAAGGTTGTTAACTATTTGGGTTTTTTCATGAAAAATGTGGGTAGACATAAAACATAGATAGAAATTTTAACTACCCTCATTCTGAGACTAATCTCGAGATGTATCAAGAGCTATAATGACCTATTAAAATGAACTTAACACTGAAAGTTCACTCACAAGAAACAATGGCATTGAATGTGTTAAAAAAAATAGATTGAAATTAAAAATCTAAAATGCAAAAATTTTTAAGAGCATGCCAAAAATAGTGAATTTTAAACAGATAGAAAATAATCACAAATTAAGAAAATAGAAAAATGAGATTTGAAAAAAAAATAGTTTTTTTAAAAAGACAAAATTAATATTGGTCATATTTAACGGTTACATACTACACGACACATAAAAACACATCTATTTGATGGCGAAGTCACTAAATATGTTTTAATAAAGATGTTTCCGCAGTGGAGATGGTAAGGTGATCGTGTCGTGTCGTGTCGTGTGTCGGTATGGTATGTCATGTCGGTTGCGTTCAGTTGTCGGTGTGTCTATGTCGGTTGTGGTGTTTGTGTCGCTGGCGCTTGGGATGCGCAGTGCCGTACACGTCGCGCACGCTCGGCCTGCAACACGCATCACACATTATGTCACATTGAGGCAACCTATTTATACAATATACAGGTGTCCCGAAAAAATATTATGGTTTTATGAATATTGGATGGGCGTCGATAGCTCAGGGGTTAAGAGCTTGTAATCTGCAGGTCTTAGGCTCGAATCCCGCTATGTACCAATGTGTTTTTGAATATATAGTTAGTAGTTAGTAGTATCGTTTTTACAGTGAAAGAAAACATCGTGATGCAACCTGCATATATCTGAGAAGATCAAAGATATATATGAAGACAACTATGGCCTAGTCATTCCTAACTTAGGATACGCTCCGAGCCCCTCAGTGGGAAAGTATAGTGAGCTGATGATGAATTGGACGTCTATTCCGGACATTGAAGAATGGATTTATTGTGACAAACTTATACAGCTCGTTGATTAAAAATGAAACCGACTTATACTATCGTACATTAACACCCTTTTCTTAACAACTGTGTCACAAGATCCTTGTCGGTGTTACTACAGTCTTGTCATGTCTTATATAATTTAACCAAATAAGTTTGTCACAACTGACAAATTTGTTATTATGCTTTATAAATTTAATTTAATTGTTAGTAATATTTATTATAAATCAGATTTTATTCGAATTTATTGCAAAAACTTCTATTAAAACAGAAAAAATTTTTATCGAAAAAAAAATGCTAAAAACATCAAAATGGGCAATAAATAAAAACTACATATAAAATAGAATCATGCGTAAATAGAAAATGCAATATATACAGAGTGACAACACTAACTAATATTAGCCATACATATATACAGCGTGTTTTAAATATTAAATATATTACTATATGTCTAATAGTAGTAGCGCCTCCTCCAATATCTGTAATCGGGAATATCTCATATTACTATATGTATTGTAGAATAAGTATTTTGTGCTTTGTGTATTTTTTTTTTAAATTATAAAGTATATTGTTAGTCATTCTTGAATTTAATACATTGTAAAATTAAAAATTAATATTAAAAAGCGATAAAATTGTGCATTTAATAAATTAATAGCAATATTATGATTTAAAATATTATTATAAAGTTAATATAGTAATATAAAAAGTTATACGTAATTTTGTCGGTTTGAAATCAAATGTAAATTTTTGTACTTATACTTGAAATCTTCTATTTAATATGTTCCGATATTACTGAATTTCTCATCACGATCGGGGTTTTTAAACACACACCTATATAAAAAGTGTGATTAGATTCAGATTAGATAAGATAGAGATTAGTTTCAATCTCAATGGTCTTCACCAATGCGAATATAAGGTCCACATTTGACCCAATCCATGGACTTTTTGTGTGTGTATGTGTGTGTGTGTGCGTGTGCATGTGTTACCTGGCGCGGTGCGGGGAGGCGGCGAGGGGGGAGGCGGCGAGGGGGCTGGCGGCGGGGCGGGGGGNNNNGGCGGGCGGCGAGGCGGGAGCGCGCGCTGCAATGTGCTGCCTCCTCACTACTCAAGCCCGCACTACCCATACATACATCACTCACTTATATACTGATCTAAACTAAACTGATATATCTGTATGTTTCACCATAAAGTAAGCATTAGCTCTAATAATAAGAAAAATTATAGCAAAAAATATAAAAAAGGCACAAGACTAAATAAGCTAAACAGAGTCGAAACATGCTCATTACCACAACAAATAACAAAGAGAAATACAAAAGACAGGATACATGGATATAAGTTAAAACGTATTCATTGTATTCATGTAAATTGTATTGTATTGCGCACGTATCGTCTGAAATGCGCAAGTACAGTCAACTCAGTTCGAGGTGATCCATTTGCAATTTTTCCTGTAAATGAAACAGTGGGAACGAATGCGATTGTACGTGTGTATGGAATGTATGTGTGTGTATGTGCACGTACCCTGGGGGCGAAGCGGAGGCGGGGACGGGAGGCGCGGGCAGAGCGAGGCGCGGCGGCGAGCGTCGACCAGCGATGGCCTCGCGAGAACGCATCTGAGCAGCTCCCGCCTTAGTTTGGAATTCTCTGAAAATTAATACTCATAAAATGAAAAAAAAAATGTATAATGGTTTAATTGGACTGACGAAATTCTTCAACACAAAGCAATGGTTTAGTCGAGTCGAGATACAATCCTAAACTTATCATCTTGAACAGCATTTCATAAATTGTGCTCTGTGGAGGTTACCTATCAAACTCCTCGGCCTCCTCCTCATCAATGTTGATGAACTCCTGGCGCTCCTCAGCGTCTCCAGAGTAGTAATTTTGCTCGCGCTCAATCAGGTGCGCGCGTTCACCGATGTGGTGACCTGCAGGCGTAAACTCAACACTCAGGCTTGACTTCTAAATAATAACACAAAACTACGAGCAACCTTAAAGACGAAAATAGGAAAAATAGCCTCCAATACATAAAAACATTCAATTAATGATGGCAGTAGCGACTTTAGGATAGGGCAATATGGCTATGTTGCAAGCGCCGGGCATAACAGGGCGCCGGAATCTGATATAAAGGGGCGCCTGGGACGCCCCGTAGAATTCCCTACCATTGAAAGATTTCTACCAAAAAAAAGGCGCGACATAGATCTAGAATGATGGCGCAGATAATCTAAAATGTTGATATTGAAATTTCTATTAGGGCTTTCGTTCAAGCCATTTAAGCACATATTGCCATGACTGTACATTGCAAAACAGTGCTGTTCGCAAATCACTACCGTACATTTGGAAGATATATCAAATCTCCTTTTATCAAATCACTGACTTTTTCATATTGCGACGCAATTGTTTCTACAAAAAGTTAAATTTGAATTTCAAACATAAGGTTGGTGGTGGCATAACTTCAACAAAGGAACATGGAATATAGGAATGTACGACTTCACATCAAGGCACAATTTAGCATCACATCGCAAATACGTAAGTAAAATTGAATTCAGTATGTTAATTTCATGATCTCATATTTGTGTTGTTTCTTGAATGTAATGAATAATAAATGTTCAATCTCTTCAGATATCTGAAGTCTGAAGAAATATGTCTGCGATATTTCGTAAATAATATTATTTACAAGGTTTATTGTATGTACCTTCCAGTAAATAATCTTTAACCATATCATATTAAAACCTTAACCTTAGGACATATCCAAAAAATTTATCGACATCACAGGGGACCGAACAGCTGGCAGCTACCTCGGACAAAGAATTAGTTTAGCTGTCGAAAGGGGGAACGCTGCCAGTATCTTTGGGACCTTGCCTAAAGAGACTTCTTTTAATAATATATTTTAGTAAAGTTTTTTAATATTTTATATCATAGATTTAAGACTATTCATTAGATTCTTTGTTAGTTTATTGTTAAAATTGCATTAGTTATTTAGTACTACGATATTCCAATATAGTTTAAACCTAATCTTACTTCTTACTAATCTTATAAAGAATGTTTTTATGGATGGATGTTTGTTAGAAGGTATCTTCATAACGGCATCGAAACGGCGCGAAAGAACGAATAGGCTACTAAATAACTTCCTATCAATTCCGAGCAGACGGAGTCGCTGGCGACAGCTATTATTTCATATAATCTATTATAAAAAAAATGTTTTGACGGCAAATCGAGAAGTGCTAAAGCGTCGTCGCTACCAAATAAACTACTTGAAAAATTACGATGACACAATGATTACATAATCATAATGTAAATACAAAGCTATTGACAAAAATTATAATGCAAAACCGCAATATTTAGTTTTTTATCGGTAATAATTTTAGTACACCCTGTAAATTACTATCTATGCAATTAATAAAATTCAACACTCTGCATGTATTATAATATCGAAAAGAAACTTCGCGGACATGATGTAGTTGCGTTGCTTATAACAAAAAAAACATTTTTTTTAAATTTTGTCTGACTGCATTTGCTCTACGTGAAACTCCGAAACGTATGGACCGATTTTGACCGTGTTTGTAAAATTTTGCACAAAGAAATTGCAGTCTGTTAGTGAAAACTGTTAAAAAAACGTGCTAATTTTAAAGAACAAAGGGCCGAATCTCCAAGCTATCGGTGACTTACAAATATCCTCATATACATAGTGTTCTAATATACAGTGTGTCCTTATACACACAGTGTTCTAATATACGTGTTTTCAGATATACATGGTGTTCTGACTTACCGATAGACATCTTCTTGGTGCCAGTGCGCGAATCCTGCAGAGTGTTGCGGGTCTCCTTGATCCCGTTGGGGCCATACTTGGTGCTGCTGGAGGAGCTGATAACCTGCAGGAGGGGGCACTGTTATGGGGGCACTATTGCCAACTAGTTAGCTGAAATGGCAATGTCCAGCAATACAGTCCATGATTGGTGGAAATTGAAAACATACATTGATATTCATTCATTCATTAAGCAATCACTATGAAGCCACTGATTGTAGGTTAAGTATGAATAATCTACCCTAAGCAAGAGTTGAAATAATAAAATCTGAGTACCAATCAGTAGCAATTTTGTTAAAATTATAAGATAAAGAGGAATAATTTTATATTATACTATATTCTTAGGAATTTAATATTTTTAATAGTAAACTGTAGATTGTATATAGTTAAGCATTTGGATTGGAATCTGGTATAGTAAGTGTTTCCGAGCCTCACCTGTGGTTGGCCGTTGGGTCCACTGGACATGACAATGGTGCTCCTGCTGAATGAGCTGCCGATGCCCATTGGCCCGCTCATAACTGTAAACAGACAGTCAAATGTTAACACTTTCAATGCCACTGACTGCCCTCATTCACTGTAGGAGAAAATTGTAATAGCTTTGAATTTGTTGTTGAACAACAAGGTTAAATATAAACAACTTTTTGTTTGAGACTTTAGTCATAGTTACTATTTGAAATAATTAACAATCTTTAAAAGTTACTGAATACTAAAAACATAAATTTTATACTATCCTAACTAATACGCTACTTTCTAACCTTTTAAATTTAGAAACACTTCATCATCATTAGCTCACTATACATCTCCACTAAAGGGATCAGAGCCTACCCTAAGTCATGGGTGACTAGGCCATAGTTAACTAAGCTGGCCCAGTATGGGGTTGGTTAACTTCACACATTTCTTTACAGATATCTGCGGGTTGCATCACAATGTTCTCCTTCACCATAGGACCGTTGGATAAATGTACATATTTAAATCAAGAATAAAAATCACATTGGTACAAGGCAGGATTCAAACCAGGACCTATAGATAACAAGTCAGGTACTTAACCCTTGAGCCACCAACTCTCTCTCACTCCAAATAGAAATACATAATTATGCAGTTATGTTTTCATAAAACAAATAATCATTGACTAAGACATTCCATTGAGTGGCATTCCACCAAAGTTCAAATCTTTATTATATATATATTTCTTCTGTGAGTGTGTATGTCACTGAACTTCTCTCAAACAACTGGACCGATTTTGATGAAATTTTTTGTGTGTGCTCAAGGGGATCTGGGAATGGTTTAGATTCACAATTTTCATCAAATATTAACTTCATATTAATTTATTCAAATTAAAGACGTGTAGGCAGGACAACCTCTGTCGGGTCCGCTAGTTTGTATATAAAAATCATATTAGCATTGTGTGTGTTAAGATGAATCAAAAAAGTAAGTCTTGGCATAGTCTGAGCACACTCATATCCCATATCTGCCAGTAACACCCACATCATACACATCCCACATTTACCATCTAATTTTAGTACTAAACTATTTTTAGAATAGAGATTTGAATAGCTATTATATTACTGGATTGTTTCCATAAAGATATTTGTGCCAACTGTATTTACCATGTTATTGTTTAATTCCAGTGTAAAATTCAGTTGTGAGCACAAGTAAAATTTTTCATAATTTTCATTATGAAAATTTATTTTTAAGATTTACTTCCTATCTTTTATCTATCATCATAGAAACAGACAATTTCATATGCCTTCAATTCCTATCAAATTAATCATCTAAATAAATAAGCATAACAAAGTTACATGAAAATTGCAACCAGATTTCCAGTCTAAATTTAAAACTCTGGTTTATTAAAAATAAAAAAATATATGGAATTCCAAACATGGCTGCCATTACACTATTTCCATTTTTTAGTTATATTTTATATTTAGTTAAATTAAAATCAATATGAATGACTTATGTTATTATAGCAATATTTGCAAATTCCGAGTTTTATGTAAAATAGTTTGTTCATGGTGAAATGTTGCTTTGGACTTACATAAGATATAGTTGGTTATATTTTGTGGATGTGTAGTATGTCCCCAAAGATTATAAGTGCCAATAAACTTTGAAATTCTATTCTATTCTTACAAAATAAATGTATTAAATACATTTAGAGTGTACATGTGTTTATAGTTACTTACAATTACCGCCTCCAAAGAGTCTATTCAGCGGCGGCATCTGAGGCATGAAGGGCATCATGGAGTTGCCATGGCGAGGCCCTCCAATGGCCAGCGGGCCACCACCCAGCATGCTGAACGGATCCGACAGCAACGAGTTCATCATGTTGTTCATGTGCCGCATATGGCTCATTTGCGATCTAAATGAAACAATATACTTTTGTAAACACAAAATTTATACTATATGTAGAGTAAACAAACCATACCTACTACTATGATACTCATGTAATTATTTGGCAGTAGAAATCCATATTATATTAGTCTAACTGTAGAACTCCACTACTGTGACCCTTTTCATTATTACTCCACCCTTTTCCCTAAATAGTGTTGGCAAAGTATATACTACTACTCTATAAACCCTCTTATCTGAATTCATTCTCTTCTTACACATATCCTCTTTCACACATTTCATCCATACTTGGTCTTCTTCTACCTTTTTAGCCACTTTTATACAATTTTATTAGAGTATATTGTCATCCCATTTAGATCGCAATTTTTGATTTATTGCAATAGCAAACAAACAACTGCATTCAATATTTCACTATATAATTTCACAGTGCCAAATTAATATCACAATAGTTTATTTCCTACAGATATTTCGTAAAGAATCAAGTGTTAATGGTGTATTATAACTTAAAGTATTGATCTTCTTTCTTTTCCATTATCGAGGTTAGAGAAAGAACCGATTTTATAATGAGAAATAGTCATATATAAGTATGATTATTTCTCCTTCATACGCAGTTGTGATCGAATATGGTAATTACAATATAGACGCAGTAAGTAGCAAAATTAGACGCCAAATAAGTCAAAATTTCAGTGTGCTTGGCTTAGCAACAATCCGTTTCGCAAAATCAATGAAATCAGCACGCTGTAATTTATTTTGAAAGGTATACAATTGGTAAAAATCATCGAATTCTTTAGCTTAAAATATTCGCAAATGCCTGCGCACATATGGTTCTCCCGATGAATTTTAAGAGAAAACACAGACTTACCCAAAAAACTCATCTTCCACGTCTCCCAATAACGATCCAAACAGAGACATTTTTATAACTTTTCAGTTATGCACAAATCACTACTAAACCAAATTAATTAGAAAGTCAAAAAGTACCACAACTGCCATAAATCTTTGCACCGTGCTTCTCAGTCGCAGAGAAAAATCGAATTCTCTGGCAAATGAAAATCTCGGAGTACTGAATCAATCACAACAAGCATGGATAGTGATGTGCGCTCTATAATCTACGGTTTTTGTGCTTCAATGTCGAGTTTTAACGAAGTACGGAATAAAATCGATACTTTCTTTTTTCATTTTCATTTTGTTAACTTTGTTTTTCTAACACAATCATTACTTAATGATTGTATTAAATTATGTTGTGAACTATAAATATTGCTTATTTTCCTCATACGGAGATTACTATCCGTAAACTTTAAAAAATAAATAAAAATCGTACTAATGCGGGCGTCCCTAAAATAAGTTTGATTAACTTTCGAAATTTCTCATTCATTTGTACAACTTCAGGAAAACGTGATGATTGGCACGAAAACGTGAAAACTTTGAAACAACTTGTGGGAATATAACCATATGATATTTATAAAACAAATTGAACGGCTACAAAAAAGACCTAGAAACAAGGCAGCGATATGAGCAAAATTCAGGCTGCAATGGCGGTATTGGTATTTTAATAAAACTTATTTGCGAAGTTACTTTCCCAAAGGAGGATAAATGTGAGACAAAAGCACTTGAAACCTTCAACGAATTTTTAATTTCACAAACACGTTACAATTCAATACCATAAATTACATTAAATAACAACGGAACGTAATTTCAGAAACCACAAAGCACAATTTTTTTTAATATCGTTTTCTAGCACGAGCTCCCATTGGCATAGGCAAACGCGGATTTCCGTGGAAGGACCACGCCGTAGACTTTGGATACGACGTATAAACCTGGTCTTGCAAGCCGTTATTACCCTTCCGTTGCCTTGGTGATGGTGCCTGAATTCAAAATATAATTTAGTGTAAAATTTTAAAGCTAGCTACACTATGCCACAATTTCTGAACTTAAGATTACTTAAGATGGCATCAAAGAAATGTCAAATCAAAGAAATAATTAATAATCAAGATACAAAAATATTTGTAAACTAAAATCCACATACCAAGCGTTCTTCATTAGTGGTTTTTTTGATGTTAAGCACGTCCCCGAATTGGCCAGCGAATTGTTCTGGTTTACCAGCGACGACGTTATTTGATTCAATAGTTGTATTCTGTAAAGTATCTCCGCCCACTTTTTCAACAACTTGTTTGATCGGCTGAGCTCGTGCCCCTTGTTGATGAGGTACGTTTAATTTTCCTTCGGAATAAGAAGCCACTTCGTTATTATTTACCGCATTTTGATGCGTAAGAGATTGAGAACCTTTGTACTGGTTATAAAGATGCTGTAATTGATTTTTACTTGGATTTTTTCCAACTCGACGATTACCGATGATTGAAGTCTTACTTACAGTAGCTTTCACATTACTATATACTCTTGGTTTAGGGGAGTCTTGTGGTGATAGTGTCTGGGGAAGGGGTGGATCTTCCTTGATGTACCTGCTTGCCGACACCCTTAGAATGGGTTGACCTAAAGTATTATAATCCGAATAAGCTAGTCGCTTCACGGGGGACTGAGGCCGGGGCTTACTTAAAGGATTGTGATCCGAAAAGACTGTTCGCTTTATAGGGGAATATGATCTGGTATGAGTCAAGTCAACAGGGAAAATTGGCACTTTCTCTATCTTCACCGACGAAGGAACTGGTGGAAGCTCAGTACCTTCGTGAGGATCTTGCGGAATACCATACGGCTCGTAATCATACTCTGTCCTTGATGCATTTTGTAACGCTCTTCTTGGATTCTCAGCAACATATTGCGGTTGTTGAGGCAAGAGCGGTTCTTGGTATTGTGGCTGTTGTACCATTTGTTTACTAGGATCCGAAGTCAATGTTGTATACACCTGTTGAGGTCGTACTTCACTACCGTATTGATAATTCACTTGTTCCGGACTTTGGGAGACAGGTTGATTCATTTGCGGTAGGGTCGTGTGATCAGTAGGGATATTTGTTTGTTGTACTGGGCTTGCGAGAGCAGTAGGTTGCGCTATGTCAGCAGGCGCAGCATTTTGCAGCTGCCCTTGATTCAAAACGTTTGCTGTTCTATTAATACCTCTCGTGTTACCGCTCATTAGTTTTTGAATAGTGTCAATCGCAGTCCTCTGTTGATTTGCTGGATTCATTTGTACGGCTATTGCCATAGGATCAAAACCTAAGTCCCCACCAAAGTTCTGCATTACACCAGGGAACATCTGATTGAATTTGTTTACACCGGGGGCATGTTGGCTATGTACGTTTGGAGTCGTAAGTAAAGGATTGGCATACGTAGGAGAATTCGAGGGCTGACTTGCCGGAGGATTAGCGTAGGTCGTAGGAGAAACCGAGGGCTGGTTCGCTTGAGGATTGGTGTACATAGGAGGTGAAATCGTAGGCTGACTTGCACCTTCCATTAGGTTTACTAAATGTCCTGGATTACTGTACTGTTGTTGATTATTCATTGTATGCATTTTTGGATCATTGCCTTGGTATGCGTTCATTTGATTGGTCAAAGGGACAACTCCAACCTTTCCATGTGGTGACTGAGGAGCATCAATAACCATCGGTTGCGATAAAGGGTTACCGCCTCCCATCGACGTATCATTTACAATTGGTTTGTGCCCACCCATCATCATGTTAACTATATTCGAACCCATATCCGGTGTGGGCGCCGGCGTTCCAGACATATGGCCACCCATTCCGCCCATGTGACCTCCCATACCTCTGCTCTGATCTCCAATTCCACCTTGATTATACATATTAGTCTGCCCTTGTGATGGCATTAAAGCATTTCCGGGTGGGGGGTTATTCATAATTGTGTTAGCCGGCGTGATAGATTTCAAATCATTATATACCTCTTGTACGACAGGTTGCATTAGATTTGAATTTAAATATTGATAAGTGTCAGAGTAAAGTTTTGCGGGATTACAGCGACCCATACAGTGATTCATATTCTGCATTCCATTGGCAGAGTTAGGATCCCCGCCACACGATGAACCGAATCTGTTATACCCGGGACAACGGCAGCAGCCATGCCGATAATCTCCAGCCCCTGGTGTTGAATTACTCATGTTTGGATAGGAATTTCTGTTATTGAATAACTTCCCCATACAACCACTGCAATACACATAAAGAGATGCCTATAAAATATAATAATAATAGGAATAGAATTAAAAGGAAGTAAAAGTGTATTAATACTTACCAATCTGCACTTTGTAGTTGATTCATTACACTTCCTAATTCACTTAAAATCTTTTGTTTATCTAATGCCATTTTCTTTAGTACACACAAAAAATTTTTTAAACGCCGAATAAATTTCTTGTAAAAATTAAATTAAAGGAACATTATAAATTTTCATCTAACATTTTGTAATCTCGTTGATTGTATGACATGTAACGGATTTTTGTAAATCGAATAGAACATTCTTATTTTTTGTCAGTATAAATGACCAGGCTTTTTTAGAAAACATTAATTTTTAAATAAACTGTACAAAATTTTTCGGATAAATAAAAGGATCTATACAACCAATAAAATATATATTGTATGGTAAGTATTGAAATCGTTAATAATTAACATTAAAAATACACCACTATACCATGATATTGAAAATAATTATAGTTCTTGTCAAATTCGTTACACTCCCGTTAAGCCTTTTTTTATATGTGCATTATTTTTCAATTTTAATTTTATAATATATATATTTTAATTAAAATAACTTTAAAAAAAAATTATGATCTGTTACTTAATTTTTGAACGGTGTCTGAGTTTGACGTTTACTTCGACTTGGTGGTGTTGCTATATGTGAACTACTTCCTGGATTCATGGGTGATTAACAACTGACAGTTATTATGGATTCGTTTTGTAATTACTTTAAATTAGTACCTAATAGCTAAACCCATTATTCTATGGCAAAAATTTATAAGTAGCAAGTTAGGTGAAGCAAATTTGTGTCAAATGAAAAACTTTGGCTTCGATTTTTTTATTGTGCATTTTTGTTTCGCTGTTTTAGCAACATTGGACTGAGGTCAAACTTCAAACTCCATCCATCTTTCAAAAACAAGTTTATCATCTTTTGTGTTGGAATTTAGTTTTGTATCCTTATAGCTTGTTACGTATTAAGTTTAATTGACTAGTTATCGGTTAGTTCGATTGTAGTACTATTGGTTTCTGCAACATTTATTGTTTTTGACTCAATTTTATATATTATCTTTTAATTACGATAATTATAAAGTAAGATAATTTTCGATCAAAGTTCAATAAATCGGAGCCAGATTTTCCAGTGTTTTCGCAGTAGTCGACGTCGACTGACTTAAGGCGCAAGAGGTAATTATACGAAAAATTTCACGATGGGTAGGAAAGTGTACGTTGTTGGTGTCGGAATGACGAAGTTTGTCAAACCGAGCTCCGGTAATGACTACCCGGAGATGGGTAAAGAGGCAGTGCAGGCGGCACTGGCCGACGCTCGAATCCCGTACGAAGTGGTACAGCAGGCTGTCTGCGGTTACGTGTTTGGCGACTCTACGTGCGGGCAGCGCGTGCTTTACCAAGTTGGCATGACTGGCATTCCCATCTACAATGTCAACAATAACTGCTCCACCGGCTCCAACGCCCTTTTTATCGCTAAACAGTTCATAGAAGGTGGTGTAGCTGATGTTGTGTTAGCAGTAGGCTTCGAAAAGATGGCGCCAGGAGCTCTGGGCGGCAGCGGGTTCACAGACAGAACCAATCCACTAGACAGACACACATTAAAAATGGCCGACATGGTGGAGCTAGCAGCTGCACCCATGACCGCTCAGTACTTTGGTAATGCAGCAATGGAGCACATGAAGAAGTATGGAACCACTGAAGTTCATTTAGCTAAGATAGCAGCCAAAAACCATCGACATGGAGCTAAAAATCCAAGAGCACAAAATGGCAGGGAATACACTGTAGAGGAGGTCTTAAAATCTAGAAAAATCTATGGACCACTAACCAAGTTGGAGTGCTGTCCGACCAGCGATGGTGCTGGGGCAGCAGTTCTGATGTCTGAGGAGGCTGTTATCAAATATAGTCTGCAGAAGAAGGCTGTTGAGATTATCGGTATGGAAATGGCAACAGACACTGCTGCAGTTTTCAAGGAAAATAGTCTGATGAAAGTTGCAGGTTACGACATGACTGCTTTTGCCGCAAAGCGACTGTATGAAAAGACTGGTATATCACCAAAGCAAATAGATGTAGTAGAGCTCCATGATTGCTTTGCAGCCAATGAAATGATCACATATGAAGGTCTGCAACTTTGTGGAGAAGGGGAGGCTGGCAAATTTATTGATTCCGGAGATAATACTTATGGGGGAAGAGTTGTGGTGAATCCTAGTGGAGGATTGATTGCTAAGGGTCATCCTTTAGGAGCCACTGGCCTGGCACAGTGTGCTGAGCTGGTGTGGCAACTTCGCGGAGAGGCTGAGGATAGACAGGTTTGTGATATAATTGTTGACAGCCTGTGTTTAAACTTTTATTGGGAATGGATTTATCAAATCCATTGAAAAGTTATGGTAAAATTTTGCATATACAGAGTGTGCTTTAATCAGTCAAGACGGATTTTTGTTTATTGGTAACTTGCGCTGTTTGTCTCTTTGTTATCAAGTGTGTGTCTGTTCTGATCAGTAAACATATGCATGTTTCCTTGTTTCTTGGCATTTATTGGAACCGGCATGTATTTAATAGTATTATTTTCAGTAGATTTTGACTTTACAATTAATTAATTATTTTAAATTTCATGATTTTGAATATGTTATCAAATATATATTCATTATGGTAACATTTAAATTTTTTTAAACCATTCATTAAGTCGACTAACTTTGAATTTTAATATTTAACACTATTTTTTACTTCATAAACAACTCATGATGTTTAATTATAGTAATTTTTTGTTGTAGTCACTGATGTTGTATTCATATGTGGAAAGTATTCTTGCCATGTTAAATAAATTGAATATTTAATACCTTGTCTGATTCAAAGTACAATATGCAAATTACTATTTTTATTTCAAACCATTAAAACAAACTAAATGAATGTAACTACTACGCTATGTAGTCTGTGTGGTCTTTCTCATAGATATTATAGCTGTTTCTTTCAACTAGAATATATATTAGATTTTATCTGTAGTTCCTCTGGTGTTGTAGATGGAGGAAGTAACTCTGTCTGTATGTCCTTCTTTCATGCAATAACTACTGAACCTGAAATTTGGTATACCCAGATAGTCTTAGATAGCGGGAAAGGACAAAAGCTTCTTTTTAACGCGAAAAGGGGGCTGTAAGGGGTTGTATAGGGGGTTGGAAATTTGTATAGGAGTATGGTCATTTTTACAGAAAGAAGCTTGAAACTTATGTTTTAGGCTGTTAATTCGATAAATGTAACATTCAATTTTTGTAAAAATGTTACCCTCAAGGGTGCAGAATAACAAAAGGGAATAGGGGTTGAAAATTTGCTTCAGAATATGTGAGGTTTATGTGAATGTTTTGTGTGTTTAATATGTTTTGTCGTTATATACTATAAGTATTAGTAAAATAAGTAGCCTAAATAATTAAAATGCTACCCAAAGACAGAATGTCACGCGGACAAAATCGCGGGCACAACTAGTCTTCATACACATAAAAAGGACCTCAATATTTGACCTAAATTAATTTTACCTGTAGATAACATTAGGCAACATTTCGTTAAACCAAGATTATATTATTGGGCTATTAATTCAATGTCAATGAATCAAAATTGTGTTGCTTTGTAACGTCTTTACTGTATGTGTGTGTTTCTTGTGCGTTACCACTGTTGTGATTTAATTTAGTATGTCGGTTGCGCAGGTGCCGCGAGCACGTATCGCCTTGCAGCATAACCTGGGACTGGGCGGCGCTGTCGTCATCGCTATGTACAGGAAGGGTTTCGAAAACGCCGGCCCCAACCCGGTGGCCGCCATCGCTGATAACCCTGATGGCTTCAAGGTCTCCAAGTATATGAAGCTCCTCGAAGAAGCGATGCAGACTGATGAGGAGAATCTTATAGAAAAAGTCAGGGGAATCTATGGCTTTAAAGTACGCAACGGTCCTAATGGCGCTGAAGGTTATTGGGTTGTGAATGCAAAAGACGGTAAAGGCAAAATTACTTACAATGGTAAAGAGAAACCTGACGTAACGTTTACGATCAGCGATGACGATGTTGTAGAACTGATATCCGGTAAGTTGAACCCTCAGAAGGCATTCTTCCAGGGGAAGATCAAGATCCAAGGTAACATGGGTTTGGCTATGAAGTTGACAGACTTGCAGCGCTCCGCCGCCAGTAGGATCGAAACTATTCGCTCGAAGCTATAGACCGGTTAAAACCGGTTTAAACTGGTGGGTGCTTTGGGTTGTGGGAATGCGTCGTATGTTGACTTTTATGTATTTTATACAATCTCAACGCACTTATATATTTCAGTAATAAAGTTATGGATCGATTTATATTAATTTTAAATGATATAATTTAATTATGTTTAATCATTCCAGAGGGTTTATATGTAATTGTTTATTGTTAATAAATACTTTTATATAAATTTTACTAATGTGTTTTATTCCAAAAAAAAGTACATAAGAAGTATAGCATACAAATATTATTTTGTTATGTATTCGTAAATAACCTTACGTGTACGCAATTTAACATCAACATTCACTTTTTACATAATACATCCACCATTTTGTTTGTGAAATCGAATGCATGGTTGATAGTTTGGCAATTGTTTCTGCAAATAAGAAAACCGTGTTAATACAGCAATGTATTTATAGATCTGTTTTTACGTGTATGAAACAGAATCCTTTTAGCTCGTATACGAGTTCGTTTTTACTATATTAATATGTTTCGTATTTTAGTTTCTTATAAAAACTAATTAATTGCTAGAGATTTAACTTATCTGACATATTGTATATATGCAGGTTATTCTTAATTAACGGATTAAAAGCTTTGTGGTGATAAAAAACGTGAATATCTATTGTTTAAGATAAAACCTACATATTTACTAAAGATATCGTAGAAATCAGGATTTCCAGACTGAAATTTACCTGCCAGGAATTTCTTGCCATGCACAGCCTTGATGTAGAGCAGAGGACTGTCCTTGACGATATTTCTAAACCAGTACGACTCAAAGTCCATCAAGAAGTCAGCGTACCTTTTTCATAGAGGCTGGCAATGCATCTGCAGTTCCTCTGATGTTGCAATTGTCTATGGGCGTTGATGATCACGGGTGTGTCTCGTTAGCTCGATCAGCCCAACAGGACACATTTTTCATTAAACGTATTGAGTCTAAATAGAATGAAAAAAAGTTCTATTGGGTAACTCATGATCACCTTGGTGTTCCCGTCGCTTGTTTGACCCCTTCTTACATAAAAACAAACAAAAATCTGTACTAAAGGGCAGTTATAATAACCACAAAATTCGCGTGGTAGTTATAGTGACATGATATACGCATACTTTTATTTTAAAGTGCTTGTTCATATTAACATCCAGTACTTAATTTCAAGCGTAATGAATTACGCAAGCTGAAGCTTGTTACAAACTATCTGACAGATAAATACAAAGAATTCTATAGATTAGATAAATTTATCTTTGGAATAATTTATCATCCAACATTTAAAGGTAAAAACATAAGTTGTTTATTACAGGGTAAAGTCATGCAACAAGTTTTTAATTGTTTTTTTTTTATTCGTCAGAATGGCAAAGCGACTGCTGCCCTTAGATATTAGTCACTGTGTTGCCTTCTTTTAATAGATTCACGAAAAGACCTCAGAAAATATTTTTCTCCTCCATTAAATCCACTTCTCCATCCCATTCTCTCATTATAAGAAAAGGATGAAAAGACTAAAAAGCCTCCGGAATGCCCATTCATCAGACGAAAAGCGAAATTGCTTCAGGCTTGTCTTCTGTATGGTCATTTGTGCAACTAATGTTGCTGGCTGGCGTCTACCACTATTAAGAAACATATTCCAGTGTTGACAACATGTGCATAAATGTCAGATAAAAGCGCGGAGAATATAATTGAAACAAAAGAAAAAAATCATTTGTCTAAAGTAAGAAAAGGACGATTATATATTTTATGTGTTTTTAAATTTGAAATTAAAATGATGAGTTAATCATGACATATTATAATCTCATAGCAATATAGTTTCGAGTCAGTTGTGTGAAGTCCCTTTGTGATTCTGTTCCATTTACCGTGGGCTTCTGAAACTGAAATCCATTTAAAACGTATTGTTATCTCTGTTTTATGAAAGATAATGACAGGGATGATGATATGTATCGAAATTTTGGCCTCGGAAACAACGGCTAATCACATATTTTTTTTATTACGATTTATGAGTGCGTTTTCAAACAAATATACTCTGTAGTGGAAATATTTATGATATTATATTGTTTAATTAGCTCTCACGTAAATAATTGTTTTTTATACTTTGAATTAATAATTGCCTTTGTTAATTTAAAAATAAAAGGGTTAGAATTTAAGTTTTCGATTGTAATGTTACTTTTTCATGAGATTTAATCTTATTAATATGATTTAAATATAATGTTTAGTTGTATACCGTAGTTGCGTAATGTACATGCGATTATTTACGTGGGAACGATTCATCTTTTTAATGCTAAGAGCTAAGAGGAATCTACGATATTAATTTAAGAACTTTCAGAATTAGTGGACACTAGTTTTTAAATGATTGATTTTGTGTCGATTCATATTGTAAATTCATACAGGTTATGTAATAAATCTCAGTACGAATATATTTGTTTCCTTATAGCTTATATTAAAATGTTGACTTAAATAATATACACGTCTATTTTATGAAGGTTTTTACCTCAAATAATGTATGCATCAACTAACTATAACTATAACCAGCACCTTGACATCGGTTATATCTACGGTTGCGAAAAAAATCGTTGAACCATTTTAACAATTGTCAAATTGACGTCATATTTAACTGTAACTATAACTTAAGGTAACGTCAATTTTGGACGGTTACGGTTAGGGTTAAGGTTAGTTTGTGTCAGTAGTGTTGTGTGTATGTCAACTGTCACAATTTCAAAAAAGTGCAAATTTGGTACGAAAATAATAGAAAAAGATAAATATCTACTATAGTGTATATTTTAAAAATAAGGTTAAGTTCCATTGTTTAAAATTCGCGTTCTCACAATTTGTCTTTGTCTCGTTATTCCGACAACAGATAGTAATCATACATTAAAATAAAACTATAAACTATATAACGCCATATTATATTTTACCTGGATCTAGAATTAGTACATAATATTTATTTATTTATTTAGGAATGCCAACAAAATATGTTATATACATTTTTACTTAGTACATAGGTTAAAGAATAAAGAGTAAGCTAAAACATATATCAATTACAGGCAAACACAACATTCGCGTAAATAAAGAAAGTACTAGAGAAAAAAAACAAACAAACTATAAATAATATTGAACTTACATACATATAAAGAGTTTGAAATCAATACATAGTAACAGTTAATAAATTAATTAAGAAACACATGTTTAAATATAAGTATATACGTACGTATTTTATCTTACTAATATTATAAATGCGAATGTTTAGATGGATGGCTGAATCACCATTCATCCATCCATCTAAACATTCGCATGCAACATTGCATGTAGCCGTTCAAACATCCACCGGATGTTTGAACGGCTACATGCAGCCGTTTCAATTCAATGTATATCAAATTTCAGAAAGATCCATGGATATTTGAAATAGTTGTAAAACATAATCTGGAGGAACACATCGGCTATTAAGTTTTTCGTTTTTGTTAATTCCGCGCGGTTGGAGTCGCGGTCTACAGATAGTAATTGAGTTATTGTCGACAACAATTAAGTCACGACTTTTGAGGACAGATTTTATAATGATTAATCAAGTTTGTGAATGGATATATATATTTTTATTATAACAGAAGGGGGCAAACAAGCAGCGGGAACACCGAGGTGTTTATTAACGTCCAAGGACATCTGCAATACCACAAACCGCAAATGCGTTGCCGGCATTTGAAATACGCTCGCTTCTTGAAGGACCCTATGTCGGTTTGGAAATACCGTCGAGGACGGACCATTTAACATCGCGACTGTGAGAGGTAGTAAATTTCACGAAACCCATTGTGGAATGTCAGCAATCGAGATAATTTTTCTTGGAACTTTAAAGTAATCTTATAAATATTAATAGATTAGGTTAGAAGTTTTATTGTTTCTATGTTAGGATGTTCCTGTTTAACTTTGGAATGAACAAATCAGGTCAATGATCGTATAAACGATTGAATATGTACAGAGTTCACTTGATGTCAAACACTGCCCACAATAGATAAAGCTGTCGTATATAAATATAATAAGATATATGTATATTTTACTTCTTACTATTATAATATTATAAATGTGAATGTTTAGATGGATGGATGTTTGTTTGATGGTATCTACAAAACGGCTCAACGGATTTGGATAAAATTTGGCATACGTATACAACATAGTCTGGAGGAACACATAGGCTACTAATTATGTTTTTTTTTAATTCTGCGCGGACAGACTCGCGGGCGACAGCTAGTAAAAGATAATATAATTAAAGGCCTCATTTAGTCCTCTTTCCCTTCCCACCCTTTTTCTTATAAGGAAAGGATGGGAGGTGGAAGTGGACCTTCCGGATGAGAAGATGCATGGGAAGGGAAAATATTTTCTTTCTGTGCATCCTCTTCTCCGTCGATTAAAGGTAGGCACCGCATATGCAATTGCGTATGTCTATGGGCAACGGTCACTTCGCTATTTCAGCAATGTCTGGTGGCTGTTCGCTCGTTTGCCATCGTATTATATTAAAAAAATGTAAAATTACAACAACAAAAAAAATAAGAAAATAATCTATAATATCTTAATCGATTTAATAATGTTTCTACATAATAAGGTACAAATTAAATATATTTTAAATTCTATTTTGACCAATCGTTTACACTTTTTATATTACAAAATCCTGATGGCGATTTTAATTACTTCTTACTAATATTATAAATGCGAATGTTTAGATGGATGTTTGTTTGAATGTATCTCTCCGAAACATCTTAATAGATCTCACTAAAATTTGGTACATATGTAGAACAGTCTGAAAGAAGACATAGGCTACTTAGTTTTGTTAAATATGGCGCGGACGGAGTCGCGGGCGACAACTGGTATATTATAAACTTCGATGTAAGAAATAGGACTATTTGTGATAAAATTTATTTTATTTCTCAAATAAATTATATCATTTTTTTTTAAGTTTTATAATTTGGATGGTACATTTTCTTTAATATTCTCCGTGGCTGCGACGTTATTTGAGGTTATGTTTTGAAATCCTTTCTTGTACATGGTGACGACAACAGCGCCGCCTACTCCCAGGTTGTGCTGCAAGGCGATACGTGCCCGGGGAACCTGGACAACAACAAAGATTTACATCTGATGACTACTAATTTTTACGCTGTTGGACCAATGTTTGTACGTATATACGTCAGTTGTATGTTTGCCGAAAATGGCTTACTGATATTTAAGTGATTTGTCATTTGGTGTATCTGCAGCTTCAGACTTTAAAACAATAATAAATTATTAGCTTTTGTTTGGAATTGGAGCAAAACTTGTATACAATTATTATTAAACTTTGACCCAAAGTTGAGACAAGTAAGCATTACAAGTGGAAAAATAATACGCCGGATATCATCTGATAAGATATCAAGTACAAATTGATAAGATATATTGTTTGTTTGAAGATAAATAGCAATATATTTTATCCTTATATCTGATAGATTGTCTATGGGAGGTAACTCTTTCTCAACTATAGTTTTAGTAAAAAAAAATTAAAACCAAACAACTGGAACGACGTGTTTCTCCTTGAGCCTGTAGGCCTGCCGATCATTTGATTCTATGAATTCAGTCAACCCAATGAGAAAACAATTCCCATTGAACGATCGATAGCTGGACCGTATCTGTTGAGACTCTGCTTTCCTGGGGACTTAATACCTGGAAGACAAATACCCACCTGTCTAGTGCCCGCCTCGCCGCGCAGCTGCCACACGAGCTCCGCGCACTGCGCCAGCCCGGTGGCGCCCAGTGGGTGGCCCTTCGCGATCAGGCCACCGCTCGGGTTGACCACCACCTGCCCGCCGTACGTGTTGTCGCCGGCGTCGATGAACTTGCCCGCCTCCCCCACACCGCACAGCTGCAACCCCTCGTATGTTATCATCTCGTTGGAGGCGAAGCAGTCGTGCAACTCCACAACGTCGACTTCCTTGGGGGAGACACCGGTCTTCTGGTATATTCTGCTGGCGGCCAGCGCGGTCATGTCTGTGCCCACCACCTTCATGCAGCTCTTCTCCTGGAAGATGGCCGGCGTGTCTGTGGCCATCTCCATGCCGATGATTTCCACCGCGCGATCCTGCAGCCCGTGTGCCTTTACAGCGTCTTCGGACATAAGCACGGCCGCGCCGGCGCCGTCGCTCGTCGGGCAGCACTCGAGCTTCGTTAGCGGCCCGTAGATCCGCCGTGAGTTCAGGATCTCTTCGACGGTGTACTCACGCTTGCTCTGAGCGCGCGGGTTGCGCACACCGTGCCGATGGTTCTTGGCAGCGATCTTGGCAAGGTGGAGCTCGGTGGTTCCATACTTACGCATGTGTTCGAGCCCCGCGTTGCCGAAGTATTGCGGGGTGTGCGGCAGATTCTGGAGCTCGGCCATCTCGCCCATCTTGGCGAGGTGCTTGTCCAGCGGGCTCGCGCGGTCATTGAAATGTCCGGCGCCGAGCGGGCCGGGCGCCATTTTCTCGAAGCCGACTGCGAGGGCGATGTCACAGAGACCGCCCTCAATGAGCTGCTTGGCGAGGAAGAGCGCGGTGGAGCCGGTGGAGCAGTTGTTGTTGACATTGTAGATGGGGATGCCGGTCATGCCGACTTGTTATAGTACGCGCTGGCCGGACGTGGAGTCGCCAAACACGTAGCCGCAGACGGCCTGCTGCACGGCGGCGTAGGGCAGGCGGGCATCGCGCAATGCCTCCTCTACCGCCTCCTTGCCCATCTCCGGGTAGTCGCGGCCGGAGCTCGGCTTCACGAACGCAGTCATGCCCACACCCACCACGAAAACTTTTCTACCCATTTTATTTCTATTTTTAAATTTAAAAAAAATAAAACAATAGTACGACCAGTCGGGCGAATGTCGACGTAGCTACAATGTTTGCGAATTATTTTGATAACGCAGATATATGTATCGTCAAATTCACGAGGTAACAAGGTGAGATAAGTTAAAAAATTAGGATTCCGTATCAAAATTGTTATCTTTTAAGTTTTATATATAATAATATTTTTTTTTTGTTATAATATTAAACATAAATGAAGAACACATTACCTAAACACCCAAAAGACTTCAAAACTAAACTAGATAACAGACTTCTCTCAAATTCCTAAGACTTTTAATTAATTACGGAACCATTATAACGTATTATCTTACCTAATGATTATAAAATCAACGCCTTGCGGATCTTATTACATAAAATTGACACTAAATAGAGGAACTTCAGATCAGCAGACGCATGAAGTTAGAGCGTGAATTTAAAAACAGAAGTTATTGAAGATACAACGAAGATTTCTGACTAAATACTGGTATAAAACATTAATCGTCTTATTATCATTAAAAGAAATAATTATTTTTTATTACAGGCACTTTGGTAATGGCAACTTATATTGTTAACTTACTACTATCAGTAAATATTTCTTTTATCTAATACTATGTTATGTGTCATGATGTCATGATGGCTACATAATAAAATCTAAGTAAACATTCATCATCATCATCAGCTCACTATACGTTCCCACCGAGGGGTTCCTACCCTAAGTTAAGGGTGATTAGGCCATAGTCAAGCACGCTGGCCAAGTGCGGGTTGTTTGACTTCACACATATCTTTGAATTTCTTCTCAGATATGTGCAGGTTGCATCACGATGTTTTCCTTCACCGTAAGAACATCGGATAAATGTACATATGTAAATCGGAAATCGAAAAACACATTGGTACATGGCGGGATTCGAACCCAGGACCTACAGATTGCAAGTGAAGTGCTTGACCCCTGATCCACCGACGCTCTTGAGTAAGTAAGTAAGTAGTAAGTAAACATTACTGTATAAAAAATCAGTAATAAAAGTGTTATGAATGCATTTTGACTTTCATTAAAGATGAATGTTTTTATTGTTCTGCTATTCGATATCTAACTGGATTACGATGTGTAAGATAAATATTAAAAAAAATCAGATTAAGAATCCGACCCTGGAGAACAATTTCATAAATTCAAACATTAATTACTTGACATATTCTTTTAGAAATCGGGACACTTATTATTTACAATGTTTTTGAAGACAAAGTACACGTAACGTAAACAGGATACTGTAAAGTCCAGAAAACTCAGCACGGATTGTCCAAGTTTATATTTCCTTCCCTAAGCTATACTATGATAAACAATATTTATAATGACTACTATATGGTAAGAACTAAAGACAGCCATGGATTTATGCACTTATTTTTACACTAGCTTAAACCACGCGGAATTAAAAATAAATACTATGTGTTCTTCCAGACTATGTTCTACATTATTCAAACTTTCGTGAGACATTATAATAAACTTATATAAAAACGGCTTAACACTCACGTATATTCGTCCGGTGCCGGTACCGACTAGTTTCGAGCCCATCGGGGGCCCTTCATCAGGATGAGTGGGTCTGGTATTATTTCGCGGACGCGGCCCGTCGCTCACCGTCGTCAGTGGTCACCCCCGATGGGCTCGAAACTAGTCGGTGCCGCCACCGGGCGAATATACGCGAGTGTTTAGCCGTTCTTTTTATATAAGTCTATGTTCTACATCTACACTAAATTTCATTAAGACCTATTTTTACGACTTTCTAACAAACACAATCCATCTAAACATTTGCATTTATAATATAAGTTAGAATATTCATGCAATTTACTTTACATTTTATGTGTTAATACTTTCCTTGTAAATATTTCTATCACATAGTTAATGTAACTAAATAGAATGAGTAAAATCCACTTAGTATGTTGAATTTAATACATACGTGAGTCATTTGTTCAATATTCAAAATGATAAAAAAACTCGGTTTTATATCAATGGTTAAAACCATGTTATACCCATTTACATTATGTATTCATGTTTATTTTGACCTCTATTACATTGCTGCATGTTTTTATAACAATAATTTTATTTCTTGACTAGATATATACGTATTTATCTGATATTTTACGAAATCATTTTTAATTTATGTCTAATTAACAAAAATTACACAATACTGCTACTAGATGTCGCTGTAAAACAAATATTACTAAGACCCAAAGTAGCCGTATAATAGTTAGATTTATTTTGCAAGATTGGTTCACGTGATTTATACCGCAGTTTTATAGGACATATAACTAATATAGTAAGAAATAAATGAAGGAGAATGTAATTGGTTTTTATCGTTGTTTTTTTTTCATTTACACTACGCTATGTTAAAACAGAGCAAAATGAAATCGTTTGTAGTTACTACTGAACAAAAGATGGCGTTGTTTTGAAATTTAAATTTTGGCGCGAATTTTTCCATCCTCCCCGGCGATTTTTTTCTTGTTGTCAAAGCTTTTGCGATAGATGGCGACTACGACCGCACCACCTAGCCCAAGGTTGTGTTGAAGGCCAATACGCGCATTTGGCACCTGAAAGAGTGAAAACAGACTAAGCTTAAAAATTGATACCTATTGGTAAAGTTGGGACGTATTGCTATATCATAATATCGTGAAATTCGACTGTAAAAACACTTTTATTCAACCAATGACAAAGACAATGGGAGAGAAAACAATACATTGTTATACAAGTTTTTAGTGGCAACCCACCGGCTATGACAATAAGTCCTAGCATTTAACTATCAAACAATACAATTAGTATTTACATAATAAGGACAAAGGTTTATGTTGTTCAACTATGTATAAACATTTCTTAGCCTTAAGACATACGAATATAAAGTCAATCTTTAATAAATTTAACATACCGTATATGACTAATGACAAGTACACAAGAAAATCGCACTTGACTATAATTTTCATATATTACACGAACTAAATATTTTTATATTAAGTAAGGGAACTAAAAATCTAATATTTACAAGTACCCACCTGTCTCGCCCCCGCCTCACCCCGCAGTTGCCACACGAGCTCCGCGCACTGCGCCAACCCCGTCGCACCAATAGGGTTGCCCTTCGCGAGCAGTCCTCCACTTGGATTGACCACTACCTGTCCACCGTACGTGTTGAGCCGTGCGTCCACGAAAGCCCCACCCTTCCCTTCCTCGCATAGCCCTAGAGCTTCGTACGTTATTAGTTCATTACTCGAAAAACAGTCGTGGAGTTCCACCACATCCACCTCACTGGGAGAGACCCCAGTCGTCTTGTAAACCTGGTCAGCGGCTAGCGCTGTCATGTCGTACCCCGCTATTCTCAGCCGAGTCGTGTCCGAGAACACGGCGCTTGTGTCTGTGGCCAGTGCGATTCCTGCGATTTCGACTGCTTTTGAAGCTAAATTGTGTTTAGCAACTGCCTGCTCCGACATCAGCACGACAGCCGCCGCCCCGTCGCAGTTGGCACAGCACTGCAGTTTAGTCAGCGGACCGAATATCCTCTTAGAATCTAATATGTCTTGCAGTGTGTACACATTTTTGTTGAGTGCATATGGATTCGCGGAACCATTTCTATGATTCTTGACAGCAATTTTAGCGAACTGAGTTTCCGTGGTGCCGTATTTTTCCATATGTTCTTTGGCGGCGTTTCCGAAACATTGCGCGGCCATCGGTGCATTTTCTAATTTAACAATTTTGAGCATTTTCTTGATGTGTATGTCGGCGGGGTAGGTACGGTCAGGGTATGCGGTGGCGGGTAAGGCACCGGGAGTCATCTTCTCGAAGCCGAGGGCGAGAACGACATGTGAGCCTGCCTGCACCAGGCGGTGCGCGAGGTGAAGTGCAGTGCCGCCGGTGGCGCCGTGGTTGTTGATGTTGTGCACCGGCAGACCAGTCATGCCCGCCTGGTACAGGACGCGTTGTCCGCATGCAGAGTCCCCGTACACGTACCCACAGACGGCTTGCTCGATGACGTCATACGTAATCCCTGCGTCCACTAGCGCCCTCTCCACAGCCTCCAAGGCGAACTCCGGGTAATCTCGCGATGAATTGGGTTTCACGAATTCCGTCATACCGACACCGACAGCGTATACTTTAGAACACATCGTTTTATTACTACAATTATATAAAGCTAAATATTATTTAATGGAAAGTTGAAATATTTAAAACTTAATGCAATGACACGAGTATTATATTTAAACGATTACATTTAAATGTGTTAAGATAAGTGAAACGATGCGAAGTCATTGGAGTTGTGTATCGCCATTTCTGTCGCACAGATACAAGGTGAAGGCTCAAACACTTATACTATTATGTTGATTTCCCAACTGCTCCGAGATCCGGTTTTTTTTTTCAACAAAAAGGCGGTAAAATCTACTTCAGAATATTATAAGTACTCTCATTAATGATTAATTTTATCAAAATTTAGAAAATAATTCCAGAAACTAAAAAATATTGGATTATTCGTGAAAAATAGCTTATTTTAATCAACTGGTATAAATATCCAACTTTAGTGATTAAAAAATAAATGATTCATAATTTTGGTTATTTACTTGTACAGTAATTTTCCTTTATCGGCTTTGAAAGTAATAACCTATCATGCTTCCAAGTTTATTCCATTGAAGTTAATATTTGTATGAAGTTTAACTTTAAAATGACATTGTGTACTATCGTATATCATATCAACGAAAATAATTGAAGTCCGATATCACTTTAGTATCAATGTTTTATATCATTTTTTTTGATAATATTATTCTGTTTATTAAGTTTTGTTAGGAAGAAAATCCGAAATTGTGCCGGTGTACTGGCACAACACTAGCCTTACTAAAATGTCGACATTTGTCCCCTCACTAATCATTCTGACACTTGACTTTGTAACGAAAGCGCGCCATTCGCGACAAAGGACTAAAAGTTTAGACCATCAAAAATCACGTAGCAGATTTATTTTTGCAAAAAAAAATATTCTGATTGTTTCTATGGATTGGAATATAATTTAAGATTTATCCGGCCATTTTGTTTTCGGTTTTCGTAATATACGAATGTTTTGATGGATGTATAGATTTTACTACGTATAGACAGTACTCTAACTGTTGTTCAGTTTGAATCGGTACAGAATTTACAGTCTGGAATAGAGTGGTCGATGTTATTATACATCTAGTCTTAATATTATAATATTATAAATGCGAATGTTTAGATGTATGTTTGAACGTATCTCCAGAACGGCTGAACGAATCTTGATGAAATTTGACATAGGTAGGACATAGTCCGGTCTAACATAGGCTACTGATTATGTTAATTTTTTAAATTTCTAGCGAAAGTAACTCATGCGACAACTAGTGTATCCATAAATTGTGTACAAAGGTATAAAATAAAACATTTGTATGGAAATCATTTCGTTTTATTGCTCCAAAAGGTACTTATTAAGCTTTTCAAGTAACACACTTTGAGACCACACGTTACAAATGTGTGTGCATAACAGAACAATGTATTTATATATATATTTAATATCTTAAATATCTAATCTATCAGGTACATTATAATATGCAAACATCTGTAATATTAAATTATTCAAACTTTCGTGAGACATTATACTAAACTGATATAAAAATGGCTAAACACTCACGTATATTTGTCCGGTGGCGGCACCGATTAGTTTCGAGCCCATCGGGGGCGAAATAATACCAGTACCACTCATCCTGAAGAAGGGCCCCCGATGGGCTCGAAACTAGTCGGTGCCGCCACCAGACGAACATACGTTAGTGTTTAGCCGTGTTTATATCAGTTTAGTATCCGTAATATTGGCTGTTAAAAAAACTGATGCAATCCAAAAAACAAATAAGGAATGTTTAGTTGGATTAGTATTTATTTGAACGTTTTTTTCTTTCTGATATAAACACACACAATTCATAATCAAGGCGTTTCAATTGTATAACCACAGGTAACAAATAGTCGCAAAAATTTGCAAAATACAGATTAAAAAATTATGCCACCTTTGGTATTACGTAATATTTAATTGTGTACATAGGTTTAATATCTCTTAGTAAAAATTAAACAACTACGTATAATAAGAAAATATATATGTATTTAAAAAAAATAATACAGATTTATTCCAAAGTTTTGAATGTTTTTTTTTATATTCTTAATAATTGTTGTCTATGCAAATTGGGCAAGATTTTTTAAATAACAAAAAGATTTTTTAAATATTAAAAATGATTTATTTGGCAAGAATTTATTGATTCAATACATGTTTTAAAATATCTAAACATTTTTTATTATTTTCAGCAAAAGTTGTAAAAAAACAAAATTAAAAAAAAATATATCATTTATTGTTGATTTTAAGACTAAAATCTCTATATAAAACATATCGCCATCCCTCTTATTATCTTTAAAAAAAACAGAGATAACAATATGTTTTATACAGAGTAATTGGTCTCGATATTTTAATTCAGTAATTGACCGAAAGGTGGCATTAATTTAAAAAAGAAGGAAAAACATTTTTTTAAGGTTATGTATTTAGCGACTGTTATACAAGATATTTATATTGTAAATGTACATATTTAAATGAAAAAAACATACATTGAGATCACAGGAGTACATTATTATACCCTGGCGTTTACGTACGCGATCTGAACCTAATATCCATGCATAGAAAAAAAAAGGTTATTTTAAAAGGCCATCGAAATTTTACACTATTTTAATTACTTAATTACTCTTAATAGGATTCCCAAAATTGAAACTCTGACAAATTAAAATAAGCCTCAAAAAGGCTTTTACTCCGATCGATCAAGTTGGTTTTTTGGTAGGTATAGATCGACAAGGATATTTGATCCGGTGGGCATAAGTCAAACTAAATTATAACAGCTCACTAGCGCCCCTCTTTCGATATCAAAAAAAAATCGTAATTTTTTTGGTCGTACTGCAACTATCTTGTGTTTCTTTATAGTGTGTCTATTTAATGACGATTAGTTTCACAATTCACTAGAGATGTGTTGACTGAAATTGGTTATGAATATTTTCTAAGTTAGTTTTGTACATTTTGTGACAGAACTTTATTTGACTATGTTTACAAGCAAATATTTAACATGGGGGCGCTAGGGAGCTGTCGATATGCCAACCGGTTCAGGCAGTCTTGTCTGTCTATACTTTGGGAAATCCTACTATAGAGCAGAGTTTGATTTTTAATGGCAACACATGTAAAAATGTATGTTGCCATATTTTGTTTGTGTAATGGATGTAAGGTTCATACGCGTTTTATCTACATTTTTAAAAGGTTTACAACAGCCTGGCAATCGCTCATTATTTACAATTAAAATTATATTTACACAAATAAGGATCTCACTGTCTTATATGAATAAAAAGTTATATGTAGTACATATAATATTATATAGTCGTATTATTTCGCTTTCTATATCTGACTGGAGACGACATAGTTATAAAAAATGAAATCAGAGGCTATATAAAGCATTATACCATTTTTAACAATTATTTTCATATAAACCAAGATGTAATGATTTTTCCCTAGTTATGTTCGTATTAATTTTTAAACACACTTCGTTATTTGAGATTTAATCTCGATCACAATACAGTTTACACTGATGACTAAAAAAGACAAAGCTGAATGGCTTAGTTCCTTTGCCTGCTCTTTCGAGAGAATAATAAAAACAATAGTGTACGTGGTTTTTAGCACCATTTTTTTTACTTCAAAAAGACAGTGAGACCTTTTGAAACTTTTCCATCGATACATTACAACCTACGCTAATAATTAAAGCGTAACATTAGTAAACAGCCTAATAAAATACGACACAACTTCAATTTGCAGGCCTTTAACAACAGGACACTTTTTAAAAGTTAATTTTTCAATTACATTTAAAAAAAAAAAACGAATTGTTTCTATACAGTTACATGGATATCTGACCAGGTGAGCGTAAATGAAACTAAATTTTAATAGACCACTAGTGCCCCCCTGGAAATGTCAAAGTCAAAGGATCTTTTTCGTATTGTAGCTGTCATGTTATGTTTTTATATATTTTTTGATAAAATTAAAAGCGATAGTAACGCCCCTCATCGAGCCAGATATCCCTGTTTTATTTTTATACGTGAAAATGGCTTAGCCATTCCCTTTAGACATCCGAATTGTTATTTTTTATAAAAAAAAAACTTAGTTCAAAACCAAACAAACCAAAAATAGTTGCCAATAAATACTATGAATGTAATATACAATTAAACACTAAGTTAGCCAAGCCAAAAATATCATAGCACCAAAACACGTGTCTAACAAGTACAGACAGAAAAGTTTCTCACACCTTAGTACCTTAACAACATGACATGCAGTCCGTACCTATTATAAACTAATTTTATCGTTTAAAATAAGTTATTCTTATTACACTCGCCTGTGCCTACTAAAATATTTAAAAAGTAAAATGGTAATTTAATTTTTTTTCTCAAAACGTCTCTTGACTAGAGATACGACCTTACCTAAAACTGAACTAATTATCATTAAACTATCTACAACGAAACATAGCACTCTTCGTAAATAAAATATTATAAAAGAAACATTCATTTGAATCCAAATACATGTTTGAGCTTTGCCAAAACATATAATATTAAAAAGTGAAATCGAATTTCACGAAAAATTTCAATGTCTTCTTTTTGCCAGGCACAAGTTTTCTTTTTTATTGAAGACTCTCAGGAAGAATAAAGAAATTATTTCCATACAAAGTCTAAATTATGCAAGAAATTATTTCAAATAAAAATAACTTTAGAAGAAATCCACTGGATAAGAAAATTCAAATTTATAATTTGAGAAAATAATACGACAAACAAATATTTCTCATCGCCCTAATAATTTAGGGCACAATTGAATTATAAAATCTTAAAAAAACAAATCGGTTATTTACAAGTGCCTTTAAAGTTGGCACATATTAAAACTATTTTAAAAATAACAGATAATAAAATATTGTAGGTAAAAAAAGTTGCCATGTGCAACACAATGTCTATGGTACGCTTAGATAAATCATAAAAAAAAGTTTGCTCCGAGGCAAAGACGAAAATAAAAAATGCACGAGGTACTGGCAAAGGCTACCGTATCATTATGCGACATAAGTACAGACGTACAAAATGCTTAAAAATGATATATTAAATATTAAAAAATTGTGATGATAAAAACTGTGTAGATCTCCAAAACGAGATATTTTGTTCGTTTTATTGCAATTTTAACTTTTTTTTTCAATATATTAATATATTTACAAATAGACAGAAAAACCGATACCTAGTTTTAATTCAGGCAGTGTTTAGATACGTAGCTTATTTTTTTTTTAAATATTATTGCTCCAAAAACCTGACTGTTTTTAATCAACTTTTAATCTTAAATGAGAGAATTTTTTCACTTATTTTAGCCGAATAATTTAACATTTATATACAATGAGGTAGAAATTTGGGATCGAACCCTTTTTTTTTTCTTCAACCGATAATTTTAAGTATCATTCAGAACTTAAGTCACCAGTTAGAGGCTAAATAAATGAAAAAATAAAACAATTTCTTAGCAGCAGTGAACTAAGAATTTAAGTTTTAACAGACAGGCCAAATATTAATATACAGGGTGTCCCAAAAGGTTACGTAAATAGGAAGGGGGATGATAGGGGTGGTCACAAGAGTCACCAGAAAAATAAAATAAAAATTCCCCTCTGGGTATTAAAAAAAATAAATGGCATTTTTTAAAAACTTAAAATTTTTTACATCTTCTGGGGCAATTTTCATTTTCTTTAAAATCTTTGTTAGTTGTATTGTTTTTTTTTATTTCATATTGATAAAGGGTTATTGACGATAACATAATAGCTTTTTTTTAAATGTATATTTGTAGGTCATTGGTTACAAAATTGCCCCAGAAGGTGTAAAATTTTTAAAAAATGCCCTTTATTTTTTTTAATGCCCAGAGGGGAATATTTAATTTATTTTTCTGGTAACCCTTGTGACCACCCCTATCATCCCCCTTCCTATGTATGTAACCTTTTGGGACACCCTGTAGATAGCTAAGCTTTTGTATCCCTGTCTTAGAATTGACGTGATCTTCAGGAAACAATAATAACAGAGAGTTACGTATGAAATTTTTCCAAGAATAATTTTTTTTTCTATTTTATATTTTGTGAATTAGGTAAATTAGTAAAAGTAGGGTTAACAAGAAACTAAACTACGTCAAAACTGAGAATATATCTCAGATTTTTTTTTGTACGGGAATTATGCAAGTAATGTTATGTTAAATATTTGGTTTATGACGTTTATACAGAGTTATTTGTAAAGAATTAATAAACATATAAAATTGCAAAATGTCTGTCTCATCAGTACTTGTGTTATATAAAAACGTCTGATATGTTATCAGTATTACATTATATATGTTATATGAGTTCAATAAATAAAATGTCGAACCATGACAGGTATAAAAAGGGAGTAAGTATAAAAAGAACCTGCTTAATACATCGGTTGTGTAAAAAAAAACTTAAGAATAACCCTGTATAAATTATGCTTACCGTTTTAGGCTTTATCAACTATTTCACTATATTATTAAAGTTGAGTATTTTATTAATTATTGGTTATAAAAAGCACAGAGTGAGGTTACACGGAGAGGCAACGGCTGTGCCCTCAGAATGGCACACATCGAAGAGTCTACAAGAAAAATAACTCGGCTATTACGTAGAAAATAAACAAGTGATCTCACAAAACTGTACTTGATATGAACATATGTACAACTGTATTCGTCTGTCTTACAACTTCAGCATTATCATGTAGTCTATACGATACACAGTGCCCGCTGCGGCCGGCGCGCGGCTGGCGGCTACCTCGCCGCACCGCACCGCGCACCATCAATGTTACAAATCGTTTACAACAGTAAGCATCAATAAATATGCTGTAAATTGGACAAAAAACAATATTAGAGTCTCATACACATGACGTTTCCGAACGAAATTAAATTTCTTAATCATTTTACAAATCATTCAGCACCTCAATGTTTTGTACTGCGTCGTCGCTATCGACTTCACTGAGCGTCCGTCGCGAGGCGCGTGATCACTCGCGCGGGTCAACACGTCTCCCGCGACTCCGAGTCCCCCCGCTCCGGCTGCTTGTCCTCGCTGTGCGATGTGTCGGCGGCGCGCTCCCGCCGGTCCAGCTCCCGCTCCCGCTGGTCGAGGCGGGCCTCGCGCCGCGCCACCGCCGCCTCGCGCTCCTCCAGGCGTCGCGCTCGCTCCGCCAGCCGCGCCTCGGCGTCCAGCAACCGAGCCGTCAGCTCGCCCTCGCCGTGCGGCGGCGGCGACGTGGACGATGTCACGTCATCGACGGGCGGTGTCAGCGGCTTGAGCGCGACGTTGGGCTGGAAGTCGCGCTCGAAGCGCGCGCAGTCCGCCAGCCGTACGACGCGCTCGGGGTGCAGCAGCGTGGGCTCCGCCTTGCCCCAGGGCCGGAAGGCGGGCGCGGCGCGGTAGGGTAGGTGGGCGTATGGGTCCAGGTACAGCGCGTAGCCGTAGTCCTCGCCGCGCGCCTTCTTTGGCGGTGAGTCCGGCGGCTCCGGCTTGCACACCACCGTCTCCACCACCTGGAATTGAGACAAGTTACAATTAAAATGTGCATCATACTTTGGATTATTGCTTTTCAAATTAGTCTTAACAAATCATAGGCAAATAAAATAGGATTCGTCAGTTTAAAATTGCCTTATAAAGAGCCTACAAATATATAGAGATGTGTAACAAATGCTGTTGCTAACCGCCTTCTTCTATTTATAATGCAGCATACAACACAGCAGCTATAGCTTTCTGCAGAATCATGTCTGAGTTACGTAATGCAGGGCGGAGCTGGCACGAGGTGTGTGGGGTTGGGTTAGTGGGGGATCGTAGTGTGGGGTGCCGGGGTGTCAGACGGCGCGCGTCATAGGCCACGAGCTGGATGTAGGTCGCGGCCGGGCCGCAGACGACCCCCAGACGTCGCCACTCCGCGCCGACGCGACTTAAGCACGACACGGTGCCCGATACCTCTTCACTAATATCAAGATACGATGAATTGGTACAAATACCAATCAATACGCAAAATAATACGATTTCATGTTTTTTTCATAAGTTGATTACATTTACTTAGTTAGGATGTTATGCTACTACTTTTACAATCTACGCTTCATTGAGCAATTTTAGTCCAGGAACGTTAATTATAATTTACTAGATAAATAAGAAAAAATTATACCAAAATACAAAATTAAATTTGCTTTATAAATTATTTCTATCTTTTCATAACTTTTATCATTATTTTATAAAATGCCAAAAAAGTAACACAATAGATACTTTCATAAGCGTCGGTATATTAAAGATAAAATGTACCCGAGGAAGTGTTAAAGAAGAAAATCTGTACGAGCGTTTCGTTGAGGTAAATCTTCTGAATGCGTGCGGGGGTGCGGAGGGCGAGGGGGTGAGGGGTGGCACCCCCACACACCGCGCGCCGGCGCCGGACGCACGGCTTGTTTGGGGTGCACAGGGTTGCCAGAACGACCTTTGTATTCTGACCTAATTATTAAATTCGTACCGAATTTGTGGTAGAAGCTTCAATTACTTTATCATACATATTTTGATATGTATTTTAATATAGTACTTATTCACATAATCACGTAATTTTAAGTGCAACATTTGTTAGAAGAGTTGATTGTTCCAAAAGTAATGGAATCCATTGCAGCCTTATATCATAAGCTAATAATATTTTTCTTCATACAATACA